CACCGGTTCACCTGAAAAGAGTTAAATCATTTGACATGCATCACAAATTGCATATCCATTTTGCACGATAATCCCTGCTGTGATCTCAAAATCTATTAATTAACAAAGAACCGTTTACTCATACCTTTTCTAAAAAAGCAAACTGAATTAGCCAGTTTTATTAGTATCCCTGTGTCATCAATGCAGCGATTTTGAAGTTTTCTTTGAGCTACTGTGGAAGCAGCGTCTCAGTAAGGTTGACACTTTGTTCTATAAAATTGTATGACAAGGTATCATTTGCTGAAGTTGACTTTGAGGTGAGCAATTCATGCTTAGGCGAGGCCACAATTGGTGAATACGCTGGTGTAAACCTTCACCATCCGCAACTTCCAAATTAGACCTTTTTGTTTAAATTAACGATAAGGGTGGCCTGCAAAAAAATCAGTAGGTTATTCATATAGTATCAACCAACTTCTGCACGGTTTGGTACGCTCAAAAATGCTCTTGCACTTTGGGACTTCAATGTTGCATTGCACAATAGCACAGAAAAGCACAACTACTGCACCTTTATCCACAACATTGTTGTATCAATCATGGCCGCAGGTCAGATAACAGACCTCAACAGGGGCATTTTTGAACCCTATGGCCGTCTAAAAGAGTATCGGATTGACGTTAGTCTTCTAACGAAATTGAGATTACAGCAGAAATTGTGCAAAATGAATATGTAATTTGCGGTTCGCATGTGAATTATAGACCACTGGTGGACCGGTGACTTTGACCTTACTACAGTTCACCTACCGTAACCCAACAATGGGGCTCTGCCGTGCAAACTGAATAATATCAGCGTGATCAGCACTTCAATTAACCCTATTTGACAAAGTTTCGGCGGACGAAACTTTGAAATCATAGCGAAAAGAATATTGAATAGTATCGATCGATGAAGTCACACATTCTGCTCAGTGCAACAGTGTGATATCTTGACCATGTCAAAACTTCAGATCTCGTTGGATCTTCACCTATAGGCGTTACCTATTATGCTGATTACGAATTTCTTATTAGTTTCACTCGGAAGTTCTCTACCATAGGGTTAAGGTGAGTGCACGGTCGGAGGTCAAAAAC